GGAGAGAGATGGGGAGGAGGGAGAGACACAGGGAAAGGGGGAGGAAGAGACACAGGGAAAGGGGGTGAAAGAGGCAGAGAGGGAAGAGAGAGACAAAGAGGGAGAAATGAGAGAGAGACACACAAGGGGAGGGGAAGAAAGAGGCAGAGGGGGGAGAGAGAGACTGGGAAGGAGAGGGGAGACATTGATACAGAGGATAAGTGAGGGGGAGAAAGAAACATACAGAGTGACTGGGGAGACAAAAAGGCACACAGAGGGGCTGGAGATAAAGAGACACACATAGGGGCAGTATATATCACAAAGCCCCCAAGGCTTTCCCCTGCCGGCCGATCTCCCTCCCCGTTCCACAGGCACCGTGCAGCCAGTCGGCAGGGGAGGAAGAGAGGACCTGGGGCAACGCTCCGGCTCTCACGAGGGTGAACTCTAGCCATGGAGCTACGGGCTAGAGTTCACTCTCACCACTTCCTGGTGGTCCCAGTAGTAGGAGTGAACTCTAGCCCCATACACACACCGCCCCACACACACACCATACACATTCACACACTACCCCCCCACACACACACACACACCATACACATTTACACACTGCCCACCCACACACTGAACCTTTCACACACATTGCACCACTGCTTCTATACCCTACTACAGCCCCATATCCCAGCAGACTCCAGGTAAGTTGTCAAACTGTTCTTAAACGGTTTGACGACTTACTCTGGGAGGGGGTGCCGACGCTCCTGGCACCATAACCACTACACAGAGGAGTAGTGGTTATTGTGCATGGAATATTTCTTTAAATAATCTATAAGTGCCCCTCTCAGGCTCAGGCTCTGGATCCGCCATTAGTATATGACATGTTTATTAATGTTTTATATCTCTATTATATTTACACATATTAATGTACATTTATAAATGCATAATACACAGAGAAATTTCATTAATATGTACCATATGTAATGAGCAGATATTGGCCCAGTCTTGTTGCTAGGTGCATACTCCAGCACAATAACATATTTAAAGTGAAAAGCACACCCACAGGACTTCAAAATAACAATTTTTTACAGTTGTGCCCTACATACATTCACCATTTCAGTCCCATTAACAAGCTTTCCTTAATATGTCAAGGTAGTTGGACTGAAACATTGATTACATGCAAAGGCACATCTGCTTAAAATAAATCTGCACTTTTGTTTATTTTGAAGCCTATGAGTGCGCTTTTTACGTTGAAGTACTTTTTAATTTTAAGTTATCTTATCTAACTCTGTATCTGCACACTATGCTGGCGCGATGCATTATGGGGCTGGTAAATATTTTTTTTCCAGGGCTGCTTTTAATTCCCAGTCTGGCCCTGCTTGTTTCTTCAACAGATTGCTCACAAACAGTTGTTGATGTTGAAGCACCCACTGTCATGGTTGTTGAAAGTCCTTCATCGCTCTCCATCTGCACAGGATTCTCTTCAACATCACAGTCTGGTTTGTCATTAGATTGTGTGGCAACACTAAAGAATTTGTTTAATGAACCAGCCATTTTTTGTTCCTCTTTTTCTCTAAGTTTCTGTTTCCTTTTGAAACCTGCACCAGACAACTTCTTACTGGGTGGTCCAGACATAGCTCAACGTGAAACAATCTAGTGAAAATAAATTAATAAACCAAATAATTACCGTATATACTCGAGTATAAGTCGAACCGAATATAAGTCGAGACCCCTAATTTTACCCCCCAAAGCTGGGAAAACATATTGACTTGTGTATAAGACTAGGGTGGGAAATGCAGCAGCTACTGGTAAATTTCTAAATAAAATTAGATCCCCCCCAAATTATATTAATTAAATATTTATTTACAGTGTGTGTATATAATGAATGCAGTGTGTGTGTGTATATAATGCAGTGTGTTTGTATGAATGCAGTGTGTGTGTGTGTGTGTGTGTGTGTGTGTGTGTGTGAATGCAGTGTGTGTGTGTGTGTGTATGTGATGCAGAGCCTTGGTGGGGGGTGGGCATTTTTATTATTATTTTTAATTATTATTATTATTTTTTTTTATATTATTAATATTTTTATTTTATTATTTAAATTTTTATTTATTTATTTTCATCCCCCCTCCTTGCTTGATACATGGCTCTCATTCCCTGGTGGTCCAGTGGATGGGCTGTGTAGGAGGGGGGCTGGCAGCGTGCTGTAACTTACCTTTCCTGCAGCTCCTGTCAGCTCCCTTCTCCTCCGGTCCGGTCAGCTCCCCTGTCAGCTCCACTGTAAGTCTCGCGGTGCGGCAATGCTCTGACCCCGCGGCTCTTGCGAGACTTACAGTGGAGCTGACAGGGGAGCTGACCGGACCGGAGGAGAAGGGAGATGACAGGAGCTGCAGGAAAGGTAAGTAACAGCTGTCTGCCAGCCCCCAACATGACCGCCGGGCTTGTAATGAGCCCGGCGGTCCTGGTCTGTATTATGGCAATGTAAGTTGCTATAATACAGACCTTGACTCGAGTATAAGTTGAGTGGGGTTTTTCAGCACAAATAATGTGCTGAAAAAATTGACTAATACTCAAATATATACGGTAAACTATTTGTTTATTAACAAAATAAATAAGTTAAAGTATTTCCTTCCCTCACATTGCAACAAAGCCCTGGGGCTGCGGCCGCTTTAAAACTTTAAGAATTCGGCTGCAGACTTTGTGGGATGCAGATGCGGCCGCAAGAGTGTAAGAGAGCACTCTCACAGGCAGTGTGATGTTGCCTTGCAGCCTTATATGACAAAGTCAAAGTCATATCCAGGACCTATACCCCTTCTGCACGCAGCCAGTGGCTGGTGGATGTCCTGGGTGTCCATCTGCATGCTGGAGAAGTCCTGGCCTGGGTGTCCATAAGGGTGCTCGGGTAAGTACTGGGTGTCTATAAGGGTGCCCCCCCCCACCCCATAATAAAAATGTAAGAAAACACCCACAATTTTTTCAATGTTTTCAATAATATTTATTTCACAAATTTGTAAACTGTATATCAACTTGAAAAAAATGGAACTATGAAAAATAAATTAACTTAGAAATACATAAAATTTAAATAATTAACATTTACTTAACAGTTAATACGCTTTCTATAAACAAAAAAAACACGCAGATCCAAAGTGACCACTCAGTCTATTCGGCAGAGGTAATGTGCAATGATTTACATCCGCTGCCTTCGAGCCTTCATTTCTGCAAATTTATGCATCAAAGCCAATCTTCCTTGCATTTTCATGCTCAATTGAAAGTATAGCCAGATTTGTCAACCTTGTCTCACTCATGACTGAGTGAAAGAAATTTTTTATCAATTTTAATTTGGAAAAACTTCTTTCACATGAAACAGTAGACACACAGAGAGTCAAAAAGAATCTTAAACAAAGTGACAAATTTGGCATTCTCTTTCCAGATGCAACAGCATGTTTCAGCCTCATAAAATGTTCCTTTAAAATGGGATCATAGTTTGAGAGCAATTCTACCAATTTGAGGAAGTTGCCTTTGTTTGTGGATGACATGGTCTCTCTATGACCACGAAAGGGAAGATTCTGGTGAGCCAGAAACAAAGTTACATCCAAAAGGCGATGCAAAATATCCCTCCATTTCCTTTTCTCTCTGTCCACTGTTTGATTGACATGATCAATGCATTTTTGTAGCTTCAATCCTGTTCTCAAGGTCTTCCATTTCTCCAAGCATGTCAGATGCTGCTCAGAACCTTTGGGTTCAGCTTCCACCACAATTGAAACCCAGTAACAAAACTGGATGCCCCTGTTACTTTGTCATCAACAGCAAAAAGTCTGCAGCAAAAACAAAACAAACTTTGTTTTGATGGAGAGTACACCATCCACGTTCTAAGAATTTTTTTCGCCATTATGCAGAGCCTTATAGAACCACGCAGTGGTCAACTGTCGTCTCTTCCCTTTTGATTTCTCTCCTTGCCTTTCAACAGGACTGAATGGCCCATCTCTATTTTGGAAAGGTTCACTTCCCCTCTTAATAAGGTCCACTCTTAAAACATCTGGAACTGGAACTGGCCAAGCAGCAACATCAGAATAAACTGACAGTCGAACAGTCTCCTCTTCTTCTTCTTCATCATCAGAGTCTTGCTGATACAGGCTTCTGCTGGCATCGCCTTCATCTACATCACTTTCACCGCTTGAAGATAAAATGATCTTCTCCAATTCTTGCGCTTTCACATATGAAGTTTCTTGAGAAGATACTTCAGGCATTTCACCTCTGGATTCAACAGACTGAACGTCTTCAGCACTTTCTCCTACTGCGGTAGATGTTGAAGGTGCAACATATTTTAAAATTGATCCAGACATCGCCTCAGCTGACTTTTCTTTTGCCTTCTTAATTTTTCGTTGCTGAGACCCACTTGTTCGATTTCGCTTCATATTGGTGTTTTCTGCAGAAAAATACTACATTTATTTTGGCTCTAGGGTTCGCTAGTGCGATATCTGTCTTATATTTCCCATCTTGGCATACCATTTGTAAAAGTAGACAACCCAGGGTATTTAAAGGGACACTATAGTCACCCAGACCACTTCAGCTCAATGAAGTGGTCTGGGTGCCAGCTCCCCCAGATTTTATCCCTCCAGATGCAAAAATCGCATCCAGCTTGCAGAACATCCATAGGAAAGCATTGAGAAATGCTCTTGCCACGCATGTGCATTTGGCGCCACTCGGGAGCTGATGTCGGCGGGGGAGGAGAGTTCACCAGCGCCGAGGGAGCCCTGCACTGGATTAAGATAAATGGCTGAAGGGGTTTTAACCCCTTTAACCCATTCAGCCACTTACCTTTCTCCAGCGTGGCCTCCCTCGGCGCTGGTGACCTCTACTCCCCCTGCCGACGTCAGATCCGAATGCGCATGCGCGGCGTGCGCATTCAAACTGCCCTTAGGAAAGCATTACTCAGTGCTTTCCTATGGACGTCCAGCATCTTCTCACAGTGAGTTTTCAGTGAGAATTGAGGAAGCGCCTCTAGCGGCTGTCAGTGAGACAGCCACTAGAGGCTGGATTAACCCTCAGTGAAACATCTCTGAAACTGCTATGTTTTCAGCTGCAGGGTTAAAACTAGAGGGACCTGGCACCCAGACCACTTCATTGATCCGATCCTTAGAAACAGCATAGGAAAAGGATTTGGGTTCAAAAGATGTAGCGGCTAGGGCAGAGGTTTTGTAGAAGGGGGCCGGGGCAGAGGTTTTGTATAAATGCGCCAGTTTTGTAGAAGGGGGAAGACCTGTGCTTTTGTAGAAAGGGGCAGGTGAGAAACTTCTAGAAAACTCCTGCTCTGCCCCTTTCTACAACAAAGCCCCTTGTCTCTCCCCTTCTAGAAAACCCTTGCCCTTCGGCCTTCATATAAAAACCCTGCACACTGATCACATAAATTTCATACACTCCATACACATAAAAACCCTGCACACACCCTTAATTAAAAAAAACAAAAACACTGCACACCCCCTTAATAAAAAACCCTGCACACCCCCCTTAATAAAAAAAAAAAAAAATCTTGCACATCCCCCTTTGATAACAAAAAACCTGCACACACCCCTTAAAACCCTGCACACCCCCTTAATAAAAAAAACAAAACTTGCACAACCCCCTTTAATAACAAAAAACCTGCACACCCCTTAAAATCCTGCAC